ATATGGCCAATTATGTCAATTTTACAACTACTGTGTCCATTCATATTTATAGAAAAGCATTTTTAATTGAAGTTTTGGCAACAAAAGGATAGGTTTAAAATGTGGTTTTTAGAATAGGCAAACTTAGATTCAAATTTAAGCTCTGCACCTTTCTAGCATTTACTGAATCAATCACTAGTTATTGAATGACTACTCTGTTATAGATATCCTGTTAATCGGTGAGAATATACAGTATCAATATTCTAGAGACATTTTCTCCATCATCCCTTAATATGGAACCCTGTGTTACTAACTCCTAATTAAACCCCAAAACTACTGATATATTTCAGGAGTGTTTCTTTCATAAAACATGTAGCTGGAGGAACTGTTTTATTATGAAAATAAATACCCAGACATGTTCTTGCTCAGATAGGACCAGATATGTACTGCAGGCAAGACCAACAATTTCTTCAAAAAGCACTGGCTATCAGTTATCAAGCATATTATTTCAATTACTCTTCACAATAAACCACGGGGTAGTCTGTTACAGTACTGGCCTCCAATGAATTATGCCTCCCTCTGACCATGCACCTTTGCAATGTAACTTGGCCACTCCTTCCATAAATCGGAGCTGGCCTTGTGACTTACTCTGATCAATACTTGAGAACTGATGTGAGACTTTCAAGGCTAGCCGTAAGAGGTTTTGAAGCTTCCACTCTGACCCTCTTGGTCCTGTAAGGAAGCTTCTACTAAACCATTGAATGCGAGGCCATAGAGAAAGAGACCCAGCCAACAGCCAGAGATGTATGAGTGTCCATTTTAGCCCAACAGCCCCAGCTAAGCTGCCGTCTAACTGCACCAGCATGAGTGAGCCCACACAAGACCAGAAAAACAGCCCAGTTAACCCAAAGAATCCTGAAAAATAATAGCTGTTTTACACCACTAAGTTTTGGGTTTGTGACACAGCAATAAATAACTGGAGCACACAATAATATAGGTACTATTGTTTATCTGCAATTCAGAACTAGGAAAGTAAATGTTTAAGTTTCAGGTACCTGCGAATACATGAAAACTGTATCTCTTCTGATCATTAATGCACTTATTTTGTTCAACAAAACATAAGGGAAAGCAAGCATGGGGAAAAATACAAGCTAGTTTACTTTCATCCAAACCTATAAAAAAATGGAAAAAGCACTGATCCATGAAGACATATTCAACTTACTTCCAACTCACAGAATATATCAATATGGAATGAATAGCTTTAATAATAATAGTAACAAAGATAATCTTATGGCACTTTCTAAGTGTCAGGTATATACACACACATACTCATTCTGACCCACTCAAGAATAAGTCGTCTAATCATTTCCATTTATCTGAGGGGGAAATTGCTGCTGGAGGTAAAGCCCAAGATATACAGTAAAATTTCTCACTGATAAAAGTAGATTACATTTACCAACAACGAAAAGGCAGCACAGCTTATATAAAACAGGGTTTCAACGTCCAAGTAAAAGCAGGTGTGCCTCATTAACATAGATCTAAGTGATCCCAGCTGTCAGAATGTAAATATTGACCCAGACTCATACGGGGAGAGGCTAGAGACTGTCTGGCATCGGTCGGACCTCGAGGGCGGCTTTCTCTCAGAGGTGCTTGCAACGATTACTGGGACACTGAGAAGCGGGGCCTCTTAGGACAGGACTGAGGATCAGCCATAGCTGTTTGCTCGGCCCTGTTGATCCCCTGGGACCTCGCCCCGCCCAACCTGTGCGCTGGCTTTTGCATATGAAAGGCCTGGCCCTTTGCAATCTGAAAATTACCTAACCAACTGCAGCTGGCCCAAGGCCCCACAGCAGCTTGCATTCCTTCACAGCTAAGCTCCTGCTGGGTAGCCTCAGGCAGAGGCTAAATTATCACCTCCTTAGATCCAAGAGCCAGTGTACCCAGTGGTCAGAGTGGGACCATCCAGATTACAACTCCTCAGATCCATAAGGGACACACTCAGGGTGCAGATTCAGTGAACACCAAAGCCCCACTGAAGCAAGTCTTGCCCCAGAAGGGTGTCTCCAGCACAGAAGTTCTCCCACTGCAGACACAGCTGATTCTCACAGCCAATTGGCCTGGAGGTCAATTCCTCCCAGTGATCCTACAACAATCAAGGCTTAACTACAACAAAATTGTGCACAAAGCCCACAAGGGGGTGCACCAAGAGTGTCCACCTCAGGTAATTGGGGAGGCTGAGCCACTGGGCCCTACAGGACACCTAGCACACAAAGCCACTCTACCAACACAGGGAAGCATAAAAAATGTGGAGACAAAGAAACAGGTCACAAATGACAGAAATGGAGGAAAGCAAACCACTGGATATAGAGTTCAAAACCACACTTTTAAGGTTTTTCAAGAATTATCTAGAAACCGCCAATAAACTTAGTGAGACACTCAAGAAATCTAGTGAGACCTCCAATAAATTTAATGAGATCCTCAATAAGTCTAGTGAGACCCTCGAGGTTGTGATAAAGGACCAACTAGGAATTAAACATACACTGACTGAAATAAAGAATATTATACAGACTTCCAACAGCAGACTAGAGGATCGCAAGAATCAAGTCAAAGATCTGAAATACGAAGAAGTAAAAAACACCCAACCGGAAAAGCAAAAAGAAAAAAGAATCCAAAAATATGAAGATAGTGTAAGGAACCTCTGGGACAACTTCAAGCGCACCAACATCCAAATTATAGGGGTGCCAGAAGAAGAGAGAGAGCAAGATATTGAAAACCTATTTGAAGAAATAATGACAGAAAACTTCCCCTACCTGGTGAAAGAAATAGACTTACAAGTCCAGGAAGTGCAGAGAACCCCAAACAAAAGGAATCCAAAGAGGACCACACCAAGACACATCATAATTAAAATGCCAAGAGCAAAAGACAAAGAGAGAATCTTAAAAGCAGCAAGAGAAAGACAGACAATTACCTACAAGGGAGTACCCATATGACTGTCAGCTGATTTCTCAACAGAAACTTTGCAGGCCAGAAGGGAGTGGCAAGAAATATTCAAAGTGATGAATAGCAAGAACCTACAACCAAGATTACTCTACCCAGCAAAGCTATCATTCAGAATTGAAGGTCAGATAAAGAGCTTCACAGATAAGGAAAAGCTAAAGGAGTTCATCACCACCAAACCAGTATTATATGAAATGCTGAAAGGTATCCTTTAAGAAGAGGAAGAAGAAGAAAAAGGTAAAGATATAAATTATGAACAACAAATACACATCTATCAACAAGTGAATCTAAAAATCAAGTGAATAAATAATCTGATGAACAGAATGAACTGGTGATTATAATAGAATCAGGGGCATAGAAAGGAAGTAGACTATTCGGGGGCCGGGGATGCGGGAAGAGACTGGACAAAAATCATACACCTATGGATAAGGAGGGGCGGTAAGGGCAGAAGGTGGGGTGGGAACCGGGTGGAGGGGAGCTATGGGGGGAAAAAGAGGAACAACTGTAATAATCTGAACAATAAAGATTTAATTAAAAAAATAAAAAATAAAAAAAAAGAATGTAAATATTGAGATCAATTTGAGAAGCATACTGTAAACAGAATGCATGTTCATTATAAAAGAACAGCCTGTGAAATTTACAAAGAGAAACAGACTATATACACTGAGTAGCCAGATTATTATGACCACCCCATCAGTACTTCGTTGGGCCACCTTTTGCCTTCAATACTGCGGCGATTCTTCTTGGCATTCACTCCACGAGATGTTGAAAGGTGATGTGAGGAATCTGACACCATGCCTGATGAATAGCACTGTCCAGTTCTGTGAGATTTAATGGTTGTGGAACCAGCTGCCTGATGGCTCTTTTAACTTCGTCCCACAAATGCTTAATTAGATTGAGATCTGATGATTGTGGGGGCCACCTAAGCAAGGTAAAGTCTCCCTCATGTTCTTGAAACCACTCCTGCACAATACGAGCACCGTGGCATGGCGCATTGTCTTGTTGGAAGAAGCCATCTCCATGGGGATACGCCATCAACATGATAGGATGAACTTGATCAGCAACGGTACTTAGGTATGTTGTGCTATTCAGACGTTTATGATGATCTGGCCCTCTAGCAACTTCAGCATGAAATTATAGCTAATTTGCCTACAAACATCAGGTGGTCATAATAATCTGGCACATATATATATACACACATATATATGTATATATATATATATATGATTAGCAGTGCTGACAGGCACAACATACAACATGTCACAATTTTAACTTGGAGTGGACCTAAGCCCTCTACAATATAAATTGCGACAAAATTGCCAAACAATCCAGGTTCCTGCAAACAACCCTACTCTACACATCCTGATCCATATTATGAGGACATCATCATCGCTTCTCGGCCTTTTGGGTGAGATCAAACGTAGGTATGAGGACATCAGCCCACGTGCCCTGCCTCAGAGTTGGTGGCGGACAGAGAGTACCCATGACACAAGGACCCAGAGAACATGGTCCAAGTGGTTTTGGACGACATGATTGCGGCCATACCTCCTCCACCCCCAACCGCCTAAAGAAACCATCTCCCTGAAAAAATCTGCATCGAGGTCCCAAAATATAAATTACCCTCAATTTAAAAAAAAAAAAAAAAAAAAAAAAAAAAGTAAGAAAAGAAAGGCCTAAAGGGAAGTCCGAATCCGGTGTGAGCGGCCAGCCAGCTCTGGGAAGAGGCACCAGGGACGACTGGGAAGGCCGTGAGAGCAGTCGTCCCTCAGACCGCGCTTCCAGAAGGCTACGAGGCAGTAAGGATGCTATCGAGCGCTGAACAGGTGACAGTCACCAGGCCTACGGCCCCACGGGCTCCCTGCTTTCTGCTGCTGGCAGCATTGGCCTCCACAACCTACCCCAGGCCCGCCCCCTTGATCCGCAGGCCGGCTACTACCACACACCCAAAAGCCGCCGTCAAACCGAGGAGAAGAAGTCTGTGGCTTCCCCCCGCCACTCCTCGCATGGCTCTCGGAAACACTCACTTGCCCGCCAGATCTTTATGAGAGCCACTCGAATTCATGAGCTGGGCCAAGTCCTGTCGCACGGCCGCCGCCATCTTTCTCTCAGCTCAGCCGAGGCTGCCGGGCCTCACAAGCAAAAAGGAAACGAGCGTAGTCCTCCAGAGCTCAGCCAGAGGGAACCCGAGATGCCACAGAGTAGCATCTGTGTGGGCCAGAGCGCCGCACGTTAGGAGCCTACGCTAGGTCCGCCCCCAGGGGTGAATGACGGGAAGCTCCACTCTAGTCTGAGGCCCGCCCAGGCCTCTCCCACAGGCTCAAGCTCGCACGCTCCCACTTCGGATTGGCGGAAGAACTCCAAGGGAGTGTGGCCTGTGCAACCCCAGTGAGTTCCGGGTACGCAAAATGACCGCATTTTCATTAAGTTCCGTGTCTCACGCCTATGGTTTATCATTTTTTGTTCTTTAACATAGCTCTTAAACTACGTGTAGTAAAGAATTTGTTGTTTTTATTGCCAATTCACCACAGACAGGTACTTTTGTAAAACGCAATTTAAAATGCCCACATTCCTCCTCGTACTCTGTACTCTTTTAATCATACATCCCAGTTTGTCCAGGATATTGTCATTTTCCATCTGTTGTCCTGGAGTAATTATTAATAACAAGTCCTTTCACTCTAGAAACTGTACCATTTGGAAGACGAAGTATGCAGTCATCCTACCTTTATATGTAATTGTAGTCATTATTTATATATCCTTACAGAATATCTTTCTGAAAATAAATGTAAATTTTTATTCTTTCTTTCACAAAAGATAACACAGCATATCATTATTCTGCTCTTGATTTTTTTCATTTTTCCTGGAAATCTTCCCATGTAAGTTCAGAGAGCTCCCTCATTCTGTTTTAGATCTGGAGAGCATCACATAAAATGAGGGGATGCCATAGTTTATTTAATCCTTACAGCTAGACACTGAAGTTGTTTTTAATCAACCAATGCTGCAATGAAAAACTTTGTACATATATCATTTGATATGTGTATAGGTAGAATACATTCCAAGAAGAATGTCAAAGGGGAGATATACTTACAATTTTTATAGATATTGCCAAATTGCACTTTATAGGGATGATTTTGCCTTTCTACCAGAAATATGTAGGAGTGCACTTTTCTACAGTCTTTCCCACAAAGGATGTCAGACTTTTGAATTTTTTACATCTTGATATGTGAAAAATAGCATGTTCCCTCTCTTGGAACGGTGAAAGAAAAGAAGACCAGAATAAGGAAATACTTTAAGAAAGTGATATGGAGTTTGCCCACATCAATTTAGATCTCACTCTATTGGCAAGAATTTTGACAAAGGATCATGCCTAGCAACAGTGAGACTGAAAATTTTGTTTCCAATTGGGCAAATTTATGCCCAGGAAAAAGGAAAGGATGGTTTTAGAGGGATCATCAGTAGTGTCTACCAGACTGTTCCTCTCACCTATATATCTGTGTGTGTCCTTTTTATCTTTGTACCCTTCTTCTTACAGTAGAATACTCTCAATCCTAAAGAAGAGAGTTCAATTTCCTATTTAATTTTTTAAAATAATTTTAATTGATTGATGAGAGATATAGAGAGAGAAACATCGATTTGTTGTTCCACATATTTATGCATTCATTGGTTGATATTTGTATCTGCCCTGACTGGGGATGGAACCCATAGCCATGGCCTATTGGGATGATGCTCTAACCTGAGATACCCAACCAGGGCTCCCATTTAGTTTCTATGTCAGCTCAAAATCCAGGATGTCTGATGATACACAATGTTCTCCATCAGGTCAGGTTGTGGATTTTCATGGTCCAAAGACATATAAACTATAAAACAAATTATCTGCCTCATGTCCATACCTATAATAAAAAACAGTAGTGGAGCAGGAACAGGATAACCACAGTCAAAACTCTGAAAAAGAATGGGAAACACAGCAATTACTTGTCCATAGCAATGGTGGGATCCTGGGTAGGAATTATGAATGCCCACTACCCCGGTAGTGGAGAAAATTCCTTGGTTAAACTCTAATTCTGCTCTTTTGGAGGCTCTCCATTGTGTATTACATTCTGTGGGCCAACTTTGTCCTCTGAATACAGATTAACTGGATGTTGGAGAATATTCCCTCTTTGGGGGAATGCCGTAGGGCTTAAATAATAGGAGGCTTTTCTAGGCCAGGTTTTCCAGTGTTTTTATTGTGTGTTTTTTTTTAAATATAATTTCAGCCCTGGCTGGCTAGCTAAGTTAGTTAGAGCATTGTCCCCATATGCCAAGGTTGCAAATTTGATCCCTACTCAGGGCACTTACAAGACAACTAATGAATGCATGAATAAATAGAACAACAGCCCAGCCAGCATAGCTCAGTGATGGAGCATCAACCCAGGAACCAAGAGGCTGCTGGTTCAATTCCCAGTCAGGGAACATGCCCAGGTTGCGGGCTTGATCCTCTGTGGGGGATGTGCAGGAGACAGCCAGTCGATGATGTTTCTCTCTCATCATTTCTCTCTCTCTATCCCTCTCCATTCTTTCTAAACAAATCCCCAGTAGGGGGTGTGCAGGAGGCAGCCAATCAATGATTCTCTCTCATCATTGATGTTTCTATCTTTCTCTGAAATCAATAAATATATATAATATATCTTTATATAATATATTATATATATACATATATATATATATATATATATATATATATATATATATATATATTTTACAGGCCCAGTGCACGAATTCATGCATGTGTGGGGGCCAGCCTGGCCTCTATCGGGGCAGATCAGGGCTGGGCCTGTCCTGAGGAGAAGACGGTGGGGAGTTGGCCAGCCAGCCTGCCCCAATCGGGGTCAGATCAAGGCCCGGCCAGTTGGGGGGAGAGGCCATGGGCAATTGGCCAGAGAGCCCCTCCCCCAACTGGGCTGGGGATCCTATTGGGGGTGGGGCTGGCCCCCAAATGGGGTGGGGGCACCTATCAAGGGTCAGCAACCTAGGGGAGGGCCATGGGAGGTTAGCTGGCTACCCCTGCCCCTGATTGGAGTGGGGAGGCTAATCTGGGGCGGGGCTGGCTGGGGGAAGGGCCCGTGGACTGATCAGGGTGGTGGGAGCTGATCTGGGGTGGGTTCCAGTAACCACACCCGGAATTGTTTCAAGAAGCAGTTGTTAAACCTGTCCTATTTCCTGCTTCCACTCTCAAGCTCTTCTTTTTTTTGTAGTTTTTAACCCATTCTTAACATTTTCTTTTTAACAATGGTAGCCTTAAAATAACCTGAAACAATAGGCATAAATGAGAAGATAAACTCTATTACTTGATTTTTGCTTCCTCTTATCTTTGTTTTCTAGTGTGTGTGTGTGTGTGTGTGTGTGTGTGTGTGTGTGTGTGTGTTCCAGAAAGTCTTAATGGGTATGAGGAATCTCTAAGCCAAGTCATTTCTTCTGCTAGTGGGTGTACATAAGCAGTTGGCTTTTTCAACTTAATAAAGCCCCAGAATTTCTGCACATTCTACCCCCTATTATTGTGACTTCAAACTTTACTTGTAATACCTTGCTGGAAGCAAAGGGAAGTAGCCACAGACACAAATTGGCTCTTTCCAGATACCTCCACTAGAGCTATAAGCTAGGGAGGGAGGTTGTCTGCCTTCCTAGTTGTTGTAGGCAGCAATTTAACTTAATTTTTTACATGACAAGGCCTCCGCTTTCCAGACTGCTCATTATCCCTGCCCAACCTCTAAGAGAATGCTACCTATTTTTAGGTTTTGCTTATAGGAGTGAAGGCACTGGAAGCTTGGCACTGGAAGCTTCATCTCATCCTCTTTTCAATTGCTTAGCAAGAAGTTAGCTAAGCACATCTGAATTAACTCCAGGGAAGTGCACAAATCCTACTTCTTTTTCACCATGCAAAACCTTGGGTCCCAGCCCTAACCTACTGAGTCAAAATTGTTGTTAACAAAATCCCTCTAGTAATTATTTTGCATTGACGATTGAGTAGCCCTGCTGTAGCAGATGTCAACACCACTGGTAGAGGAGCTCCTCTCACTAAACTCTTGTCAAATAAGTCCATTTCCCTGCCCTGGACACCCCATTTTTACATATTCAACTAGATGGTCTCCACACCCTCAATTTCCCTACAAATATGTAAAGGTATTCATCCTGGAGGCCTTTTCCTGGTGCATCTTCCACTCTATGTCCCATGTGCCCAGCTCACATATACTTTGATAGAGGAGGGGAAAAAAAGAGCATAGGTTATTGTATATATTTCTGAATACTAATCCTTACTCTATATTTATTCCACATGTTGCTAGTGCTGTGTGACAGAATTGGTCTAGAGTGATCTTGTGTGTTTCCTAGCCTAGACCCAGAATCAGCCACCTTTTCAAAAAGTCCTTGTTCCTTTAGTTCCTTTTAGGAATTGATATTTACAGATAATCTGAGTGCTAAGGATTCTCTTTGCTACTGTACTATTCATTTGGGGAACTCTTTTTTAAAAATATATTTTTATTGATTTCAGAGAGGAAGGGAAAGGAAGAGAGAGACAGAAACATCAATGATGACAGGGAATCATTGATTGGCTGCCTCCTGCACATCCCCCACTGGGAACCAAGCCTGCAACTGGGGCATATGCCCTTGACTGGGATCAAATCTGGGACCCCTGAGTCTGCTGGCAAACACTCTATCCACTGAGCCAAACCAGCCAGGGCTGGGGAACTCTTCATAGAACTGAACTAGGAAATATCTACATATTTGAAAGAAAGAATAACTCATGAGTTCATACTAATACTTCTAAATCCAATGTAGGTGCTTTTATTTAACCTCTTCTATATTACATCTGTGGCTACTTCCACATCCAGAATTAGTATATTCCATAATTGTTCATTTCATTCATCCCATGTTTATACACACAACAGCCTCAGTATAACAAAACTAATACTACCACCCCCAATATGTTGGCTGAGAAGAGTTCACTATTTTACTGCTATTTCTCTCCCCATTTCCTCTCATTTTTCAATTGTACTGTGTCTACATTATGAGCATATACTAGTATAGCCATTACAAGCAATACTTTCTTCATTTTATTCCTCATTTAATCTTTTTTAAAATGTATTTTTACTGATTTCAGAGATAAAGGGAGGAAAGAGATAGATAAAAACATCAATGATGAGAGAGAATCACTGATCAGCTGCCTCCTGCACACAAGCCAGGCATGTGTCTGGGAAT